GGCATGTCTGATCATAATTGATTTAGCAATCCCAAACACTGATGTACGTATGTCATTTCATTGATCTAACAACCCTCCAATGGTAATATAGGCATGTCATACCACTGATCTAACACCCTCTAATGGTAAACTAAGCATGTCCGATCGCAACTGATTTAGCAATCCCTAACACTGATCTACGTATGTCATTTCATTGATTTGACAACCCTCCAATGGTAATATAGGCATGTCTTATTATTTATCTAACACCCTCCAATGGTAATCTAGGCATGTCTGATCGTAACTGATTTAGCAACCCCTAAGGGGCCATTCACAAAGGATGTCCGAGCCGAGGGGGGAGGGGGGTTTGGAAAATCAGGACAAACTCGGACATAGGGGGGAGGGGGGGTTAGCAATCCGGATGTCCGAAATTTAAAAAAATTCAAAAACAAATTTCTTTTTCCCTCTATTTTGAGCAGTCCTTCCCATTGTGAAATTGGCATTTTGACTATGTGGTTAACATTAGATTTTGTTTTAATTAGTAATTTATATGTTTTTGTGTTCACATTTACAGTTATAAAAAAGTTCTAAAAGTAAAAAAAGTTTTTTACTCTTGATATATACAAGGTTGCGTGAGTTTTTGCAAGGCATGGCAGATGTCCGGGGGAGGGGGTCACTAATTCGGACAAAGCCGGACAAGGGGGGTCTGAAAATCCATTATTTGGCCGGACATCCTTTGTGAATGGCCCCTAACACTGATGTACGCATATCAGTTCATTAATCTAACACCCTCTGCTGGTAATATAGGCATGTCTTATTATTGATGTAACACTTTCTAATGGTAATCTAGGCATGTCTGATCATAATTGATTTAGCAATCCCTAACACTGATCTACGTATGTCATTTCATTGTCTAACAACCCTCCAATGGTAATATAGGCATGTCATACCATTGATCTAACACCCTCCAATGGTAATCTAAGCATGTCTGATCGTAACTGATTTAGCAACCCCTAACACTGATGTACGTATGTCATTTCATTGATCTGACAACCCTCCAATGGTAATCTAGGCATGTCTTATTATTGATCTAACACCCTCTAATGGTAATCTAGGCATGTCTTATTATTGATCTAACACCCTCCAAAGGTAATCTGAGCATGTCTGATCGTAACTGTTTTGCAACCCCTAACACTGATGTACGCATGTCATTTCATTGATTGAACACCCTCTACTGGTAATATAGGCATGTCTTATTATTGATATAACAACCTCTAATGGTAATCTAGGCATGTCTGATCATAACTGATTTAACAACCCCTATTAAACACTGATGTACGCATGTCATGTCATTGATCTAACACCCTCCAATCATGATCAGATATGCCTAGATTACCATTGGAAGGTTGTTAGATCAACGATATGACATACATAGGACTACAATAACATTTTCGATAATACGTCATGAATACATTCTTGGTCTGGGAGCCTTGCTCTCGTCAATCAAGACGGAAGGCGATTGGCTCACGATTCATGAGAATGAAGCTCCCAGGCCAATAACGTACGCGTGATGTAATTATCGAAAATATGTATTAGTGGATGTTAGTGTATTAATGAAAACGTAGACGAGTGGTAGAGAGTATTTTAAGTAACGAAAGCTTTTTGTCATTGATACGAAATACCAAAATCAGCATAAATTAAAGAGTTTTGGATTAATAGATCATGGATATGACATTCCTAAATCAATGTTAAAGAATGTTAGATCATATATTAAATGCCTAGACAAATGTCAAAGTTTGCTAGATCACTATTACTATTAGGTCCTTCCAAAGTTTGAACTTTAGAAAATAGATAATAAGCGACTACAATAAAACGTATATTGTACAATTTTTTTACAGTGGATAGGAAAATCTATTTACATTACTACTCCAAACTTAAGCTACTTAACTAAGCATTCCAGGAGCTTTTTCAATGGCTTGCCTATTTCCTAGTGGAAGGTTGTAACTTGTCTGGCATAAGGTTTCAGTCAGTGTGAAATACATGGGACCATGCATTGTACGAATGTTTTTCCCCAGTAAAGTCACTTGTTTGGAATGCAGGACTTTGTAACCTTCAGTTAGTAGAACTAAGGACCAACCAGTAATCTTTGTAAGTGGTCCTGTTTGCTGTATTTAAGTTGGCTTAGTGATAGCATAGAATAACCAAAACCTTTCTTCTGCTTCGGTATAAATGGACAAAATTAAAGGTTTTTCCTCCTGGCTGTGCTTGATGTTTTTACCAACAGCCATGATTCGAGGTCATCTGATGAACTCTTGAACACTTGCTTCTCATCTTCACCTGTGAGCTTCCATGCTGCAGAAGCCAACTGGTTTTTCTCAATCAACATCAAATCTTTGCACTCATCTAAAGGACATTATAAAAATAAGATTCTAGGTGATTCATCAATATTGTTCTGGGAATGAGAATTTGCGGAAACTTCCCAGGGGTGAAGTTTATGATATCCTCATAATAAAAACAGACAAAAAAGTTGAGGTCACCAAGCTCATTCCGACGATTTGACAAATGCAACATGCCAAATTCCCCCCCCCCATATGATCCTTTTATGAGTTATATGAACAATTGCTCAACCTCTATTGTATCTTATTAACAAGGATCCTATATATTTATATACAAGAAAACACTGTTTAGCAAAACAAAAAGCATTGATGTGCATGGTCATGGTGGCGACAAAAAGGCACGGTCAGAGACTTTCTTAAAGAAATAAAACATGCAACATGATGTGGTTTAGTGTTAGTTGCACAGGAGCCCTAGCCAGAGTTCTATCATTTTTGAAGATATATTTCCTGAAGCACACAATATCAATGCAGAGTGATTTTCTCTTTTCTCTTACTTTATCACTTTGTTATTAGATATGTAGCATAAAAGAGCAGAATACAAAACTGATGAATCACCACATGGTTATATTTCATGGCTGAATATTTGCATTTTATTACTTCACCAAGACAATGTTAGTAAGCCTAGGGTGAACCACTGAACCAGGTAGAGCTTTTTGCTATCCGGCCAGAATATCCAGTCGGATATGTTTGATATATAAGCTAGGTTTGAGCTTTCAATTTATTTAAGGTAAAACAATGGTTTCAATCGACTGTAAAATGGCTCGATTGTTTATACTATTTTGACTCAAACACATGGATATTTACACTTCATTATGTTGTTTAACAATAGTCAGTCTTTTTATTCCAACATTTGCATACTCTCTGTTTCATGACTGAAAGTGTCTGACTGTCTGGCAGCAGACAAAGTAACATATGACCATATGACTCAGTTCCAGCTGGAACTTTCTTCCAGTTCCGGCCAGATCCAGTTCCAGCCGAAACTTAAAAAAAGGTTTCTGGTGCACCCCTACAGGTCTAGCCTAGGAAGGCGCTTGATCGTGTGTGCATGCCTATTAACTCATTAAGCCGCAATGCGTCCCAGTGCATCCTACTTTTTTTGATTGTCTACTGCCAATGTGGAAGCTCTGCACTTTAAGGGTTTAAAACCAAAAAATCTGACAATGTCTCTAGTTATTATGCACCTATCAATGTTAAGCCCCAGAGGGGGGGGGGGGTCGGACATATGTGGGGTATTTGATTGTCAATTCCATCCCCACCCTGGGGATTTTGATTAGCATTTTGGCCCCAAGTTGGGGCAATTTGAACTGAATGACTGTTATTAACATAGTATTTATTGCAAGATGGTGGGGCATTTGACCAATATTTATTGCCCGACGGTGGGGCATTTGATTGGAAATTTGCTCAAAAAATCAAATGTCCCACCTATGCCCGACCACCCCCCCCCCCTTGGGGGCTTAAAATCGATAGGTGCATTAAACCCATTGAGACGTAATGTGCCCCAGTGACCCTATTTTTTTACTTGTCTAACGCCAGACAATTTCACTCATCAATGGGGAAACATGCATGTTACAGTAAGTTCAGACTGTCAACTAGGCATGTAATAACAATATACGAAGTAGACTCTCGCTTAAGTAGGTGCATAGAAAATAGTGCCTTGAATGCACAGTAGCTGCACTATTGATCAAGTATCTTGGTTTTCATCCAAGCAAGGCCTGATACTAGTTTATATTAGTATATTTTTGTATGTCGTCTAGTGTCTTTAATAGTAAATAGTCAACATTAACATCACTATGATATCTATATTTACCTTTATAACTTGAGTCGTTGTTAAGCCAGTTTCTGCTCAAGCGCTTTCGATCATTTCGCGATAATTTAGACCAACACCGACCATTCTACGGCCGTAAAACCTTTCCAAAATATCTCTCTGGTTGTCGCTTATTCTAGTTCTCTTTCCTATCTCCATTTCATTGCACAGAATCGCAAATAGACTAGAAAATCTGCTAGAAATGTTTTCAAATATGGCAGCTCAAAGCTCGATATGGCGTTCCGTTCCGGTCAAAATTATTTCAAGTCAACAAGTAATAGTCAAACATTATATCAACATGTTATAACTCTCAATACAATGTTGAAAATATCAAGATGAAGTTCAAACTCAAAAAAATAAAACGAAAGTTTAAAGCATATACTTCAAAACTGCAAAATACATTTCAAACCTCTAAGGATATACATGAAAATTAAACGCAAGTCGAAACTTTTATTTATAATACGAAACTCCCAAATGATAAGTCAAAGCCGCGGCTCATAAAAATAAATCGAAAAGTCAAAAATATAAATCGAAAGGAAACGGAAGTAAGCAACTTAATACAGAGGAAGTCAGGAAACGGAAGTTAACCAAGAAGCCAGCGAATGGTATTCTTTGTTTTAAAGGGGGGTGAACACGCGCTGAGATATTTACGTATGTCGATATTAAAAAGTTAAAGATTTCGAAACTGACGAATTATTTCTCTCTTTATAAACATTGCTGACCTCGTCTTTTACAGTAACAATTACATTATTATATTATATTATGATTCAACCGAATATCTTGCTCGCCGTCTGGATGTTTACGAGATAAATATTCTTGTACTAATCTATAGCCTGATGATCCTGGGTGATACTTGTGAGATACCACGAACAAGTAGATCAAGATCATTGTCCCTTATCGTAGAATGTGATTGAGTGATTCCCTGTTCGTAAATAGCGGAGACAAAGTAAAATTAACGTCGACGTCGTCGTATTGCACTCTCAGATACTCAAAATTTCTTGTAATTTCTGCTCAGGAAAGTCCAACTTGGAGAATTAAAGTTTAGATGGCCTGTTGTCAGACGTCCAGTCTTTGTCTTCCCACACCAAAATTCGCATGTTTCCCTTTGACGACGAACAATCACTTGAAGGGTGCGCATATCTGACAAAAGTTGTTGCTCTAGAGGATTTCAAGCATTGAGAAAAATATTCGGTTGAATCATAGCGAATGTTATTGTTAAAAGACGAGCTTAGCAATGTTTGTGGTTAACTTCCGTTTCCTGACTTCCTCTGTATTAAGTTGCTTACTTCCGTTTCCTTTCGATTTATATTTTTGACTTTTCGATTTATTTTTATGAGCCGCGGCTTTGACTTATCATTTGGGAGTTTCGTATTATAAATAAAAGTTTCGACTTGCGTTTAATTTTCATGTATATCCTTAGAGGTTTGAAATTATTTTGCAGTTTTGAAGTATATGCTTTAAACTTTCGTTTTATTTTTTTGAGTTTGAACTTCATCTTGATATTTTCAACATTATATTGAGAGTTATAACATGTTGATTTAATGTTTGACTATTACTTGTTGACTTGAAATAATTTTGACCGGAACGGAACGCCATAGCTCGATAAGAATGTGTGATAGAAAGACGATTGTGATTGGTTTATATATAATGATATGCGTCAGGGTCAGGTAGCGCAGGCGATAGTCTGGCACCAGAGGTCTAGCCTGCATGGCAGGCGGTACGTAGGAAATACCGCCTGCCGCAAAACTGGGTGTAAATGAACTACCGCCCCTGAAGCATCAACGCCATTTATAGATGCATTAATTAAGTAAATATTCAAAATTAGCCACTCCCAAGATGCTCCCAAGTCCCAACTGCCCAACATAAAATAAATTCCTTTATTCTCATCATCGCCCGACTGAATTTTAAAATCCTCGTGAAAACGTTTTATTTTTCGTTATACAATATAAATGTACCGCCCGACAAAATAATTCAAGACAGTTAATTTTTTCATATTTTATATAGAGTTTTTATTGCCATTTTAAACTTCCAATTTGAAACAAACAGAATTTTGAGTGAAATTTCATTGTATTTTAAAGAAACTCCGTCATTCTGTCATTGTTCGTGGAGATACGAACTATTGATATATAAATTATATAAATATAAAAAATAAATCTCCCACTGTCTTCGACATTTCAAAGTGTAGACTGTGTCTAGTGATGAGAATCAAGGAATTTATTTTATGTGTTAATATAAACCAAGCCTGTTTAGCCGTTTAGCTGCCTTAAAACGGTGGTTTAATAAGCTCAAAATACAAAGCATGCAAGTCTATACTATAGATTCATCATCAGTCAACAACCAACTGAAAGTATTGAACCTTATAGAACGATAGCTTTATTTGTTTACAACTATACATATTCAACGGGTATATAAGAGTTTAACTGTTATTTGATAATTACTGCATCAACCGGCCCCTTGTTTATACTTTGGAGGTTCGTATATAATATCTATCAAGTATCTTTGGTTCAGAACATGACTGATAGGCATATATGGAAATCCCACTGTTCGATTCAGTGAAGAAATATCTCCTAATTTCTATCGATAGTTTTAGTAAAATGTCAACATTATTGCGATTTATGGCGAGATAGTATATTATCAAATTAATACGCATGTAATTGTCTGAACGAAAATATAGACTAGCCCATACCTTTCGCCGATCATAACTTCGGCCCCTTCTGACGTATCTTCTTTGTTAAATATTCTTGTTCGAATCCCTATCAATAACACTATTTAGAGTGTTATTTTTCAGCTTGTATCTTTTAATTTGCTTCTTTTATTATGTTATTCCATTTCTGGTCTGACTTGACGTGAACTAATTTCAAAACGCAGAGTTTCAAAACGTCAAAACATTTGGTTAATGATTAACATTTAACCGAATCTAGCCGTTGATTGACAACTACATAAAAATACTAACCAATCCGTTTTTCCCGTTCACCAGCGGACGGGTAATTCAAAAACCCCTAGTTTTGCGGCAGACGGTATTTCCTTTGCTTCCCTAATTTTCGCTGCCCGTAGAAATACCGCCTGCCATGCAGGCTACACTTTCGGCAAAGTGTTTTTTGGCAAAGTGTCTTTCGGCAAAACGTCCGGGTAACGATTTCTCACACGGTTAAAAATGGATTTAAGATCAGCACATTGTACTATAACTTTACAAGTGCCTCCAAAACGCTGGAAATGCCATTTCAGTGTACCAAAATTAAAAAAAAATTCGGGTGGCATACAGTATAT